CTGCCTCCAGCGTAGGTAGATTCGCTTCACATACGGGGTCAAATCAACCACTATTCGTCTCGCTCTTCCTCGAGCCAAACACACAGGTTTCGTCCAGTCTAACGTGAATTTCGCTGGTATTCCCAATCAGAATGATACAACTAGGGGGTGCTTCCCTGCCTCCAGCGTAGGTAGATTCGCTTCACATACGGGGTCAAATCAACCACTATTCGTCTCGCTCTTCCTCGAGCCAAACACACAGGTTTCGTCCAGTCTAACGTGAAAATCGTGGGGCTCAGTGAACGCATAGGAGTGGTTTTCCGACAGCTGTGCGACGGAATGCTCGACGCCTTCATGAGACTGAATTTTAATTTTTCATAAATCTTTGAGGTGTATAAGGATTCTTGGTAGAATAAGTTCCTTTAGGGTGTTCCTGTGGATTGACCTGAGAAGACACCCCGACACCCACAATAGCTCTCTCTCTCTCTCACGGTGACTAAGTTCACCTACACAACGAAATCTCCATCGAAGTTGTTAAATCTTCCCACAGCCTGAGGGTGACTACTGACCACTGACTGCTCCTGGGACAGAATATTATGGACCGGCAAGTCCAAAGTCAGTAATTCGATTTCACCCTGTTCAAAAAGTAAGCGTGTTCAGGTCGAATATCTAACTAAACAAAACAACTAATGGCCAACTAGGTGTCACAGGATGACCACTAATCTCACTCGCATTCTTTCACTCAACGAAGGTGCCCAAATTAGGGGAACGTATTAAAGACGAATTCGGTGCGTGTGGAAGGGACTGCCCGAGTGAAATGAAACTCATTACCTTTGTGTTGCTGTTTGGATATTTTGAACAGTTCGTATGGTCGCAACATCGCCGTGAGTTTTGTCAACATTTTAACAAGATGCTTCTTAGTTAAAAATCGAAAACTTCGCACTAGCATATTATCGAAATACTAACAGGAAGTAAAACTAAGTTATATTGCAAGCCGATCTACTTGCAAATTGGAGGCAACTGAAACCCCAAGGTGGTAGAAACTGGACGGGAGGCATTTGAGGGATGGGCCCTAATAAATGGTTCGACCATTCAAGGAATTCAGTATTACCAAGTAGTGATTAGAGCGTTTGATGTTAACCATGAGTTACTTTGCAACTATTTCAAGAATAGATTACCCCATTAGGTGGGGTCGAAGTGCCCTGTGATCCACACTGTGTCCCCTCTATGGGGGGATTACCATGTGTACAAATTCACCCTCATTCTCCGTTCTCACTGTGGCCCCGTACTGGATAAACACATGGTTTATATAACACGATTGCCATTCCTTTGTTGGGAGATAAAGTGTTTATACGATGTCTTTCCGTCCATTTTAGTTGGAGAGCTCAATGTTTTGTTTGCAGAGTATGTTCCCTCGTGTAAGTTGACAAACAATTACCAAGTACAATAACCAAGTGCACACTCATCTGCTTCCAATGCGAGATTTCACTGAATCTCTCGTCTGTGCCTCATGAGACGATTCCCGAGAGGTAACAGTATATTTTCTAGGAAGAATACCACTCGTGAGTTTGAATTTGACTTTGTGATTTGGACTCCTTCAGGATATAGACATCAGATTTCTGATGTGGCTAATCTCTCAAATTCACGTGTTGAGCTTTCGCGTGAATTCCATTCTCTTGCAAATGAATGTTGCATTTGGGATTCTTTCCGCAACTGTCTTCCAAAATTCTACTCAATAGATCCGCCCAGGTGTGTGATGAGTTTGTACGAGTTGTAATGCTAAAACTACACTCTAGCCCCATAAATCTATTTTTCAGCAAAACATATCTTCAGAGATTTCGTAATTCGGTAACCTCTAATCCCACCAAAGTGCGCCATAGAAGCCAACAGCCTCAGGCATACTGATTAAGAAATGCCCTAAAATACAGCCTGGATTGCAGTGCACACTAGCACCTTCGTCCCGAAGCAAGGCTGAGACACTCACTAAAGAGGAACTATGGCAACTCATGTTCAGCACCAAAAGTGATAAGTTCCTCACAGAGAAGACAGACTTCACAAGGAAATGGGCTTTTTAGTCTATCGTGTGAATGGTCTCCCAGATGAGTGACTCTCCTAATGGTTTTGTGTGGTCTCTTGTTTTAAAGGTGTAATTCCAACTCAGTGTTTGAACCTACTTATAGAGATGAAACCGCATCATCCCATCGCCCTCAGTCATATTCTCTCCCAGCTAACAGGACCTATGATAAACACGAGAAGAGTGTGGCTCAACTTTCTTAGTACCGCCAAAACCGGCGGGAGGATAATCTGACATGGGCCAATGATGCTATCCTTGTGATGGTGATGAGTTCGGCTTGCTAATCTCAGCGAGCAGCCAGCCTCTGCTGCGGAGATTATACTCAGGGAATGAAAATGTCTTCCGGGTTTTGCTAAATACTCTGATTTGTATATCAGTTTGGTTTTCACGGGAGACTCAGCTGAATCTCTCGTTTATGCTGTTCGTCCGCTGAATTTGCTACACAGAAACACATAGTGTTTCAGTTGTTACGGTATTTGAGATATCACGGTGTATATTCATGAATGAAACTTCTAACAAGAGACCGATAGAACTCTGTCACGGAATGAACCCGGAAGTTTACTCACAAGGATGCTGAGCACCCCTCGACAGCCCACGACCGGCGTCGACCTTCCCAGGGCTCATCAAGCAGGCGTAGTCCCCGAATTTCCGTCAATCTTTTGTGTTACTCGAAACCCAATTGGACAGATTTCCACAAATACACTCCTTTGCTTATCGAAGGTTAACGGAAACTCGGGGATCGCGCCTTGCTGCTGAGCCCCAAGAAGTGCGAAACCGGTTGTGGGCTGTTGAGGAGTTCTCAGCATCCGTGAGTAATCTTCCGGGTTCATTCTGGAGCAGAGTTGAGCGTTCTATCGGTATCTTGTTTTGAAGACAAAGTTTCAGGTAACTGCTCGAGAAGCCTTCAGCAGGCGCCTCTTCTTTCGGTGCTTAACTGCGATGCCACCGGAAGGTTGCACGAAAGCTGGGATACTGCCAGGTTTCCCAAGCCTAGACAGGGGAAGTCGAGAGGCGAAGGTCGGGCTCGAACCACAGACCCTCCGGTCAGCAAACTCGCGCTCTTGCCACCTGAGGCATTCTGTCCCAAGTGACTCCTGATGACAAAGAAATCATCTTGTCCCGGAAAGCGCGATACTGGTAGCTCTTTCGAATTCAAAACGGAAAATGGGTGAGAGTTTTCCTTTGAGATGAAGCCAGTAAAGACGCAGTGTGACAGTCATCTGGGCAGTTCGGTTAACCATCACTGCTGTTGACTGACAACAGTTTCGTCGACCTCAGTCGGTACTCATGTCTTCCAAGGAAACCACTGGCGTCACTTTCGCTAAGCTTGACAGACATTGTTAAACGGGCCCACTAGCAATCCAACAGGATCAGTCATCCTATCAACCAGTCCAAGTCAAAAGTGAGGCCCGACAAAAGGACATACATAAAGATGAACATCGCGGCTCAACCTCGCCATTTCGATGCTTTGCTAACCGCTGACGACAGGCCAATCCATTGTGGGCCGATAACGTCAACCATCCTCCCGATGAAACGTTTGAATTCAACTTGCAAAGCTCAGCGCCCTGCCACCCAAGGAATAAAACGGTCTCTCGTGTTCATTCGAGAGCAGATCTGGGACGTTCATAGTGTAATAAGAGCGAGAATTCGAAAAACCAGAAAAACCGTTTGACAGTATTAGATTTCCGTAATCCGATTCGATTCAAATTCACTTCAAACCCACGGACGTTTCTTCCGATTACGAGGCTCCGAAAACCGATTCCCTACAGCAGTATCCATCAGAGCTAGCTTTCGGACTAGACTTTTGGTGAAATGACAAGCCATTGAAAGTAGGCGCGAAGCCCGACTGTGTTTCAAGGGTCGAGGATGCGATACCTTACTGCGTTTCTTATTACCATATGAGTCACAATCAGGACTGTGGGGAACCGTGGACGTCAAAAACTTCCAGTACTTCAACACCATTTTCACGAGGCATCCACAGTGTTTCAACTCGACAACCATCCGTTTTATCCTATCAAACACAAATTTCATCGTTTCTTTAGTGCCTATGTCCAGAATAGTCGTACGCACACAACTATCTTAATCACCCATCTCATCCAATCAGATATGCGTGTTCATGCATTAACGACCTCGTGTTTGGCAACTTCATTGCCTGGATAGGTGAGGTTGCGGATTGATAGTAGTCTGGGATGCAACTCCCAAAGGAACTTCCAGAGGAACCCAGTCCACGGTAAGAACTAGAGAAGCGTACACTGTCGTACACTCCAGGCAGTTTTGAAACCGCGACCTGCCGACCAGTATCTTGGGAAGTTAACCGCCCGTGTTACCCCTTCCCCTTGGTCGTCTGAGTTGGCATGTCGGAACATAAGCTTTTGAAGGAATTTACTGGAATCGATAAAATATATGTTCTTAAAAGAGATGGCGGGATGGTGTTCACTGTGGGAAAATCAGCGAACGTATCTGCGTCCTATGTTACGGTCTGGATGAGTCGTGCATCGATATTCCCGCAATCACCCGTCGAGTAGTCACTGGATTGTATGCTGGGGTGACGACACCCGAACTGGACAACTTGACCGCTGAAGTATGTGCCTGTATGACAACACGATACCATGCCTACGGGACCCCGGCCGCTCGCCTGGCTGTTTCTAATTTGCATGAAAAACACGAAAGCGTCTTTTTCGGAAGTAAAGGGGAACCTGTATGGCTGCGTTAACGAGCGCACCAAGCTTCATTCACCCATAGTGAGTGAAGACGTTATCCAGATAATACGGGAGAACGCTGACCGAACGGATCCTTCGATACCAAGCCACAAAACACGTGTTGCAGGACATTACCGAACTGCACACAGTCGCGTTAAACCCTGGTATTGGCATCGGCTACCGCCAGCGCACGCTCATTCGATGGTCCTAAGACGATCACATTAGGCGTTGACGAAATAGTCAAACACCTCTCGCTTTCTGTGTGATCCGGATTATTCGCCTGGTCCGAAATGCGTCCATCCTGAATTTCTCGGCGATCTAGCCTCTCTGGAGACCACATCTCAGCAAGTATTCCCCCAAAACCCACAAGACACAACCTAACCTTCCCTTCTCTGGACTCACAACAAGCTTCTAACACCAACACTTGTACCTGGGACTTGGACAAAGTCTCTCGTAAGCACCTGGACGCTCAAAGAAAACATCGATGAAACGGAGGGGAAACACCAATGTGCCTTTGACCGTGTCCTTAGCTAAAATTGAAAAGCGCGTGACCATGAATCAATCTCACGCCGTTTTCATAGTCCTCCATCATTAGTGAGAGACCTCGAAATTTGCACTATACTAGACTTCCACTCCTCCAAACTCGACATACTCTTTCATACACGATTTCCAACCCACACCAACAAACCAAAACGCAATGTGTTCACATTTTCCCGTCAAGAACACGGCGATATTGTGCGGCCTCTCTGATAGGATTGTGAAGTAAATATTCACGATAGTGTGCAATTTACTAAAAGATTGTTATACTCCGGAATTCGCCCTAAACCAAAAGATTTCCCTTTGGGATATCACAATCTTCCCAGATATCTCAAACCAACCTACAAATACTCACATCAGAAGCAGTCACCAAGTGCTCTACTGTAAGACAATTCTATCGGGAATATATATATACCATTAAGTCTATGCACACCTTAAACATAAGATTCAGTTGAGCTGGAAAATACACAAGAATTGACTCGCCCCCAGTATTGAAGCGGCTTCGCCCAAAAACAACGCGACAGATAAGATCCGCCAGTGAATCAAAACAGATCCTGCCGTCTCTGATCATTAAACCAAATATCAAACGGAACATTAGTACCACCAAAATCTTGCTAGAAGGATTACACACAGGAGTGCCACCATCTAAACGCAGCACTAAACAACTACGTGAAACGTCAAAACGCCTGCCCAACCAACCGAATTCCAAAGAAGATACAATTAAAACGACACAATGTTTATTAAAAGTAATGCGGATTAAACAACAGATGAACCGCACCACTCAGTCCACTTCCTCAATCGTCGGGCCGCGGGCACCACCACCTGAACCACCTCCAACTCCCGCACCAGGAAATCCACCGGGCATACCACCAGGCATCCCTCCAGGCATACCGCCACCACCACCACCGCCGCCGCCTTGATACATCTTCGTTATGATCGGATTGCACACCTTCTCCAACTCCTTCTGCTTGTGCTCATATTCATCCTTCTCCGCCGTCTGATTCCCATCCACCCAAGATGTCACCTCAGAACACTTCTCACTGATCAACTTGCGGTCAGACTCCGAAATCTTGTCTTTCACCTTCTCATCCTCAACAGTCTGCTTCATCGAATAGGCGTAACTCTCCAGTGCATTCTTCGCTGCCACACGATCACGCTGGTGTTCGTCGTCCGCCTTGTACTTCTCCGCGTCAGCCACCATACGGTCAATCTCATCCTTCGACAAACGTCCCTTATCATTCGTTATCGTTATCTTGTTCTGCTTACCCGTGCTCTTGTCCACCGCCGACACATTCAGAATACCGTTCGCATCTATGTCGAAAGTCACTTCGATTTGTGGCACTCCACGTGGGGCCGGAGGAATCCCCGACAGCTCGAACTTGCCCAACAGATTATTGTCACGAGTCATCGCACGCTCACCTTCATACACTTGAATCAATACTCCAGGCTGGTTGTCCGAATAGGTCGTAAACGTCTGCGTCTGTTTCGTTGGAATCGTTGTGTTGCGTTTAATCAGAGTAGTCATCACTCCGCCAGCCGTCTCCAGACCCAACGACAGAGGAGCCACATCCAACAGAAGCAAGTCCTGCACAACTTCCGATTTATCACCACTGAGAATCGCAGCCTGAACTGCAGCACCATACGCAACCGCCTCATCCGGATTGATCGACTTGTTCAACTCCTTACCATTGAAGAAATCCTGAAGCAGCTTCTGCACCTTCGGGATTCGAGTCGAACCACCCACCAACACAATGTCATGAATCTCACTCTTGTCCATCTTCGCATCGCGCAAAGCCTTCTCCACCGGATCAAGCGTACTACGGAACAGGTCCGCATTCAGCTCCTCAAACCGAGCACGTGTGATCGACGTGTAGAAATCGATACCCTCGTGCAACGAGTCAATCTCAATGTTCGCCTGCGCACTCGAACTCAAAGTGCGCTTAGCACGTTCACACGCCGTCCGAAGGCGACGGACAGCACGTTTGTTCTCCGAAATGTCCTTCTTGTGCTTGCGTTTAAACTCTTCAATAAAGTGACTCACCATCCGATTATCGAAATCCTCACCACCCAGATGCGTGTCACCGGCCGTCGACTTCACTTCGAATACACCCTCGTCGATGGTGAGGATGGAAACATCAAACGTACCACCACCGAGATCAAAGATCAGCACATGTCGCTCACCTTTACCCACTTTCTTGTCTAGCCCGTATGCAATCGCCGCAGCTGTCGGTTCGTTGATGATACGCAAAACATTGAGGCCAGCAATGGCACCCGCATCCTTCGTCGCTTGACGCTGGCTGTCGTTGAAGTAAGCCGGAACAGTAATCACAGCATCCTTCACTTTCGTGCCCAGATACGCCTCAGCTGTCTCCTTCATCTTTGTCAGCACCATCGACGATATCTCTTCTGGCGAGAACGTCTTGATCTCACCTTTGTACTCCACACGGACCTTCGGCTTACCACCTTCTTGGACCACCTCAAATGGCCAGTGCTTACGGTCAGCTATCACTGATGGATCATCGAATCGCCGACCGATCAGTCTCTTGACATCGAACACGGTGTTGTTTGGGTTCATTGCGACTTGATTTTTAGCGGCATCACCAATCAGTCGTTCGGTATCCGTGAATGCAACATAGCTGGGTGTTGTGCGATTTCCTTGATCGTTGGCGATTATTTCCACTTTTCCATGCTGGAACACTCCGACGCATGAGTATGTCGTACCCAGATCGATTCCAACAGCCGGCATGTTCAACCAGATTCAACTAGGATATCTCGCAGTAGGGATGAGCTCACAGAAACGACTGCGGTCGACCCGGACGCGTTCGCTTATATACCGTTTACCACTACAGTCGTCTAGACGACCTCGAACGTCTGGATTGGTCTGGATTGGCCTAGACCGGATAGTCTAAGCCAATAGCTAATCGGCTTGTGCGCGTCGGCTGGATGCAGCTGACCAATGATAATTTAGAGATACTGATGACCTACAGCTGTTTTGCTGGCGTTCGCAATCACATGATGTTTTTGCGCGTGGCAGCGCAAAACCCACTTCCTCAGGTGGGTTTCTAGCCCTTGTTTTTCCCTCTGTGATCACCTAAGCAGTTTATGGGCGCATACAGGCTGTCACAACACACTACGATTCACTCTCCTCGCTTATCGTGTGTAAACTCCGGTAAGAATTTTACGTTCTCCAAATGTATTCCCAAGCGGCCTGTCATTCGGACGGATGAGCGACTGCTATGCTGTATGAATTTCGTCACTACCTACCACCGCTGGAAACCAACAGCTCTGTCAAAGCGTGAGGACCGCCTTGCTCGTGGTCAATCAGACTGTGTGCATCCTGCTGCCAGCAGATACGGAATTCGCGATTTGTCTTAATCTGGTGGTAGACGCGTTTTTATTCCTTTCCATCCTAAATATCATGTTTCGCACGAATTGGTCTAAGACCATCCTCTTCCGTCAAATTCATTGGACTGGACATGCGTGATACTTGTGGAAGGGCGGGTACTACTGGCGAGGCATACGAGTAGATCGTGGTCTTTTCGGAGCTCCGCACCGAGCCAAATGGAAGGTGAGTTTATTACGGAACTCGTAGAACTGCTTTGCAGTGTTCGTTTACAATTGCGTGATAGTCAATGAATATCCATTATAGTTGAATAAGACGCACGAATATGTTCAGATTTAAGAGCGATATGCATAGTAGACATTTACATTCCTGTCCAATGGTTTGTGATAGGCGACTTCACGGCGTACGGCCTACCTCATTACACTTGTAGGCTGGTGATTGTCCTTCACCTATCCTTGATGATCGTCTTGTTTGCAATGTTCTTTTCACCTCAGTGTGCACGATGGTACAGCTAGTGAGGATGTCCGCCTTGGTGCACGCGCCCTCGCTTGTGAGCACCGTCGATCTGAGGTCGATCTGCTTGATACACAAAATTCTATTCACCTTTCTCTAAACCAGTCATCTTTGCATTCGTCTCTCCTCTTTCCTTGTAGATTGCTTCGCACGGCGTTCATCGCGAATTCAGTGCAGTGGATGTCTCCCATATATTTGCAATTTCGCATTCCCAAACAGAGAAAAACTACGGTGTATCGAAAACTTAGCAAAACACAGTCTCGTATGTCAAACAAACACAATGCATGCTGTTTTCGGAAAAGTTTGGTAACACTCGGCAGATTTATTGCTGGGCAACGTTTCACTTTTGACACAAAACCTTCGTCAGGCCAAGTGACCAGGTTCCGAGGTTGGTCAAGACTTAAGGAGGAAGCAGAACCAATCGGCTAAGTCAAGCTAAATTTCTGTTGGGTGTCGACCGAGAAATTTTGTGTGTTAGGGTGGGTGAACAAGCGTTGGGCCGATAAGGGAAACTAAATGTGTTTGGGTTCAGCCTAGGGTCTAGTTCTTCTGGTTCGGTCCACTTGATGATCCTTCTTGAACGCCGTCTGAACTCTCTATCCGCCTGTGTGGATGAGCTAGTGCTAGGATAGTTGTGTTAGAGGGATACTGTGAAATCTGGTCGGGTTAGCAGTTCCACCCCCAACACCATGCTTTTGCTAATGATTCTACGTGGATTGATAACCACACTGTCACGTGTCAACTCGGCCTAGCTAAGACTGCTTGCCATACGCTCACCAGTTCCACATCCTCGATTCGATTCACCATGTGAGGCTTAGTTACATTTCCACCGCGTGTTTAAAGCATGAACCAACATCGCTGCGTCTTTGACCATCGTTTGGTATTGTCCTGCATTCCTTGGTGGTTTGTTTATCC